AAAAAAAGTCTCTCAAACCTTTAGGTTTGTGAAAACTGAAATTATTAATTATCAAACCACAAACTAGATTATTATATATAATATATATATATTTTTAAAGTGGGTCACTTTTCCCTGCTGTTTAACAAGTATAATAAACATACTGTTAAAAAGCATATTCTGTAATGTTCATTGTCCCTTCTGAATTCAGTAAACAACAACAACACGGTGTCTGTGGACCCAGCACCTGCTAATTCTCAGTGTTGGCACCTACTAGTGGTTGGAGTAAAGAATAGGCGAACAATGCTTTTTCAGTGGCTGCATGTACCTAATGAGATTTGTTCATGTTTTTTTTTTACATCATGATCACTTAATTGTGATGTAATGCCCTATTTATTGCAGCTAAGTCCTAAGAATAAACCTTACATCTTATTTGTTTCATTCATGCTGTAGTGTTTAAACAGGATAAAATAAATGTTTAATGAGGACCTCAGCTTTCCAGCACAGGTGATGATGCATGGAAAGAAGGTGAGAAAAATTCCTTTTAGCACAAAGTTTTAACTTTTTGTGAAAAAATGGATCAGTACCACTAGTAAGATAAAACCCATTTAAAATTTGATCAGGCTTGAGGGAAGTGGAATCAGAATTCAACATTTTTATACTTTGTAGAATTTAAATGAATGGATTTCAATATCTTGTTTCATCAGTCAAAAGCTGAAATTTTCCCTTCAAGAGAAAAAAAATGAATTGTCAGATTTGACTCCACAATAGGGACCACCTTTGTTTTGTTTTTTATCCCATTACAGTTGTCATCAGTCACGCTTCTTCTGGCTCCACTAAAGAGCAATTTGTTTTTATCGCTGCTCCAGAGTCTCTGGGATCACACGGCACTCAACCTCCTCCACCTTATCTTGTTTCTTACAAAAAGCTGAAGACAATAACGAAGGAGATATTTTTTTTAATTAACAAAATTGTATTTCATACAATTCCCTGAAGAAATGAGTGACAGAAAACGTTACAACAGTACAAAGCCATGTTTCTTTTTTTTCCTGTTCTGATCAGTTTGTTCGAAACGGAAAACATTTTAAAAGAACTGTGATGTAGTTCATCAGTTGTTAAGTAGAACTGTTCAAAGACTTCATCAGATTACAGTAACAGACATTTATACTTCATTACATGGACTTCAGCTCTCATGTCAGTTGATAACCAGAAATGTGTAAAGAAAAATAGACATGTTTGCATTTCATCAGAAAAAAAAAAGGATTTGTTGGGAAAAAAAAAAGCAAAGACTTGCTGACATTTATATCCCCTCATCAAAAGTTGATCTCAACCATGTGGTATTTTTAAGTCAGTCGAGGTTTTTGTTGAAAAGAAGCTCAGAACTCCTCCTCTGCGTTTCTGCTCCTGGAAGCCTTGAGCTGTTTGAGGCGCTCCATGCACTCCTCCACACTGCGCTCGCCGTGGACTTTGTTGTCTCGGGTGCGTACGTTCACCGTGTTGCTCGTCTTCTCTTTCTCTCCCACCACTTTTCCCAGCAGGGTAACATGCGAAGACACGAAAAAATACAAAGAAAGGAAGAAAAAAAATCAATATCTATGGGGCAGTGTTGGAGCTATGGAGAGAGAAAAGGACAGAAGTGAAAGAAAGGARCGTTAGCACTGACCCAGAATGAAGTTGTACTGTGCTAACTGAGCATTTCGGATCTTTTTGTTCAGAGTGCAGCCGGGGTCCAGATCCACGTCAGTCATGAAGCCGCTGCTGTGGAAGTCCTGCCTGACCTACAAACCACAGAAATAATCATTGTTGCTTTCAAACAAGTACTTATTATTTACATATTTTCCAAGTTTTTTGTTGTAATAACTTCCACATGTGATGCCTTAAAGGAAACGTATCTTGTTTTAAATCCCTCTTTTTCATATTTAAATTATATTTATATTAGAAATGTATAAATAATTGTACATGTAAGGATGAGAATGTAAGATTTAATGCTCATTCAATGTGGGAATAACTTGTGTTTACCTGGTGTGAGAACATTTAAATGTTATGAGTTGAGAAGGGCAGGAAATCAAAAGATCTTTTATCTTTTACCTGCTCCTTTTCGAACAAATAATGTAAAAAGGACCTTTGAATAGATTATTAGTTCAAAAAATTTGATGGTTTTTTATTTTGTTTTGATGTGTAAAGATTATTATTAATAAACTTATTTGATGGAGCACAGCAGATATTAGATTTTTTCTTCTTTCTGCTGCCTTTTATTTCATTTTATTAGATTTTTTGAATTTTACTTTTTTATTTTATTGTATTTTTATTTTGTATTTTATTTTATTATTATTATTTTATTGTTTAATGAAATGAAATGAATAAATCATTCAGTTGGGGTCTATAGTGGAACTACAATGCTTTGGTCTGAATTCCTCCTTGTTGTAACTCCACAAGCCCCTCTTTCACTCCTTTTCTGGTGTGTCTCAGATCAACTCGTTTAGAGGCTGTCTCTTTAAATCCAAACAAGATGCTTCAAACCCCGCCCCCCCGCCAGCTTCCAGAGCGAATTATTCTAGTTTGAGAGGAGTTTATGACTAAATAGCTGCGCAGAAATGTTTTATTTACAACTAAATTATTACAAATTCAATTAAAAATGTCAACAATGAAAGACCTGTCCAACAACTAAATGTATTAAACRGCTAAAAAAGTGGATTTTGCTTGATATATCCCCTTAAAGGGTTATTCTGAACTATATCAAGTGGTGCCATTTGAAAAAGGTTACTCCAGTTTTCCAGAGGTATTTATGTACAACTTTGAAATGTGGGTATACGCTCGATGTAAACAAAGAACATGGCTGAAACTGCTTGAGTCATGTGATTGACCTMCACTGGACAGCTGTAGTCTGTAGGTAAACAAATACAGTGGAACTGAACAAGTGTAGCTTTGTGAAAAATGTCTAGAGTTGTATTACAAATAAGATAACATCACTTCAGACATTTCCATAAAGTTTCACCTAGAAATGCTAAATATAAGGACCCATTAACCATTGACGTTAAAAAAAAATGTTAAGATGGCACTGTAACATAAAAACATTACAAATCTTCTTTAGAACAGGTGTTAGCATGGGTGATCCTCACAAACACAGACAGCTCTGGCATTTTAATGCATCTCTGGTGACCCCTTGTGAGTTTAATAATGTCTCTGCAAAATCCCACATCTACTGACCTAAACAGTGACTTGCATGACAACATGTTGACAAACGTTTTAAGAGGAAACATCAGCCTGTGTGATGAATGTAATGTGATTAAAGTAAATACACACAGTTGTTTTAAGACGCCAAGTTCAGTTTGAGTTATGTCTTCTGTATTTAGTCTAATTTAACCTTTCTTTTTGGACATTAAGTCACTCTGACACAAATACTATTATTAAGGAGTGTTTAAAGAAAGTAATTAAAAGCCTATAAT